CTTCCACCTGCAGATGCATTGGGGGGGAGTCCTAGTAGGATTTCCATTGCAGCTGATGGAGCTGTGCTCATTGCTCCCATAATTCCCAAACAGGCTGTTCTTTGCAGTTTTCTAAGTTCTGCCTAACTTGTTTTGAGTTTGACTCTAGGCCACCATATAGCGGTGGCATAGGTGATTATGGGTCTTACTACAGCAGTGTATATCCAATTACCACCTTTGGTGTCAGTCCCCAAATCTTCCCAAACATGCCTCTGCATGTCCAGAAGGCTTTATAGGCCTTGTTAATAGCCTTATCCAGCTCTTGTTTCCATGTCAGCCCCTTGTCTAATGTTAATCCAAGGTACTTGACTTCACTGGATAGCTGGATCACTTTACTGAAGAGTACTGGTTCTTTGAGCCCCTTTACATCCCTCTTCCTAGTAAAGGGTACAGTCACCATTTTGTTTGGATTGATAGACAAGTGGGTCCTTTCACATCACTGTGGAACTGTATACAGGGCTGTTTGTAAGACCTCCGTAAGAGTGTGCAGGAATTTCCCATTAATTAGGATTGCTATACATCAGCATATCCTACTGTGAAGTGGCCTGTAGTGTTGAGCTCTATACAGGGCTGTTCCCATTGATTAGGATTGCGATATCATCAGCATATCCTACTGTGAAGTGGCCTGTACTTTTGAGCTGTATACAGGGCTGTTCCCATTAATTAGGATTGCTATATCATCAGCATATCCTACTGTGAAGTGGCCTGTACTTTTGAGCTGTATACAGGGCTGTTCCCATTAATTAGGATTGCTATATCATCAGCATATCCTACTGTGAAGTGGCCTGTACTTTTGAGCTGTATACAGGGCTGTTCCCATTAATTAGGATTGCTATATCATCAGCATATCCTACTGTGAAGTGGCCTGTACTTTTGAGCTGTATACAGGGCTGTTCCCATTAATTAGGATTGCTATATCATCAGCATATCCTACTGTGAAGTGGCCTGTACTTTTGAGCTGTATACAGGGCTGTTCCCATTAATTAGGATTGCTATATCATCAGCATATCCTACTGTGAAGTGGCCTGTACTTTTGAGCTGTATACAGGGCTGTTCCCATTAATTAGGATTGCTATATCATCAGCATATCCTACTGTGAAGTGGCCTGTACTTTTGAGCTGTATACAGGGCTGTTCCCATTAATTAGGATTGCTATATCATCAGCATATCCTACTGTGAAGTGGCCTGTACTTTTGAGCTGTATACAGGGCTGTTCCCATTGATTAGGATTGCTATATATCAACATATCCTACTGTGAAGTGGCCTGTACTGTTGAGCTATATACAGGGCTGTTCCCATTCATTAACCTTTAAACGCCAGACTTCTGAAATGGTGGCAAGCTTGAGCTGGCCAGAGTTTATTTAAATGCCTGCTGCTGGTGCATTGCTACTCTGCATTTAATTGTCCATTCCTGTTAGGGCACTTAAACAATTTTAAGCACTGTGTTTAAAAATGCTGTATCTAACTCAATTTTCATAATAAATGGATGGAATTAACTTTGTTTGTATCAGCAAAGAACATAGTGTCGCATATTATAACAGAAGATTTGAAATTTTTTATACAAAATGTTATATTCTATTTTCAAGTTTTTGTCTCTTAACACTTTGTGGACCATCAATTTAAATATTTAAATCACCCTGGGGACCGGCATTTTTAAACCTACTACCCTAACTTGTGCACTGTTCACTTTAAAAATTAATATAAAATCTCCAAATTAATTTTATGAACTAAAATTTTTGGAGAACACTTACTAATGCTCCTGGAAGTGCCTGAGGGTGTGATATTTCTGGAAACATTCCCCTTTGNTCCCGCAATGTTATTACTCACATCGTTGGAGCTACTGTCACTTTTACTGTCTGTGGCCACAATTCTCTGTTCTCCCTTGTCACTGCCACTCTCTGAATCACCATGGCTACGCCTCTCACAATGCAGGTCAGCTAGAATATCGGAGAAGAATCTGTCCTTGATCCATACTCCACCACTAACTACTGGCTGATACATACAGCTTGAAGAAAGCAAAGCATTTTCCTTTATAGTGGGTTAAGATAACAGTGAGGTCAAGTTACTGAATGCTAGGTAAACATTCCGGAGTTTTATTGCACAGGATTCATCGAGTTGGGTGGCGCCAGAGCAAGGTATAGTGTGTTACAACCTAACACGTCTTAAACTCATGATATCATTCGACCGGTCCACCACGTTTAAAAGCCAAAAGCATGATATCATGGAAAATGGTTTCCCAGTTCTTCACAGAGTTGTTCTGCATTATAAATTCATTTCTGTTTATAACACTTGACAAAACAGCCTCCGTAGTCTAGGGGTAACGTTCCCACCTCATGACTCAAGGTACGTGGATTCAAACCCAGCGGAGGTTGTGGAATTTTTAAGGGCAGAAAAATTCAGGGAACAAGTCCTCCGGGAGGGACTTTAAGCCGTGGGTCCCGTGTCGTAGATTTACGGCACGTGAAAGATTCTCATGTCTCTAGGAGACCTCTGAGCAGAATTAGGCAACATTTCCCGCCCAAGTAGTTTCAAATGCCTCTGGTAGATGGGGGAAGCATCAGGTACCACGTGCCAGAAGAGGGCCGACCTCGCTGGCAAAATGGGGCTGATAGCAAAGCACCAGTACTGGTAAGTTATGGGGACACTAGAAATTAAAGGGGTATGCACAATGGACCAATAACTGGTCTAAGTGCATGGGGACACTCACCCCTTCTAATAATGAATGAATGAATGAATGAATGAATGAATGAATGAATGAATGAATGAATGAATGAATGAACACTTGACAAATTTTAGCAGTCCCTGGTGTCATAAAACAGATGGAAGCAATAAAATCATTTGGCCTTCTGCTAGCACTGCTTACACTCTTCGGATTTTCGAAACTTTTGACTGAAGGACAGAAGAATGAAAGAATGGCTATTCAAGAGAAAGCTAGAGGGATCCATTTTTCAGTGCTAAAACCTTCCGCTATAGCTGCAAGAGATTATTACCCTTTCTAGGGTCGTGAACAGACAGTTGCATTGTGGTTGAGTTACAGAGTGCAATCTGTTTTCTGTGCATTCGTAGTGAAATCGAATACTATAGTTTCATTTCAGCCTATGTATACATCAAGCAGGTAACAACAAAAAAGGTATGTACATCGAATTTTACTATATATTTTTAACACTTTAATCTGCAGAATCTGCAATAAAAGTACTGGCTCGTGGATGAGTTTGGGCATAACTCATACGTATATTCTTTTTTGCTGTTATTCACTTAGGTATCATTTTAATTCCTCTATTAGAGCTTTACTCAAGTCTGTCTGGTAATTACTACTGTGGGGTTCTTAATGTAGTTTTGTCATTACTCCGATGACAACCCACTTCTTCGGAACGGTTTGTTGGTCCTGAAAAGGACCGTGGTTGCTGAGATGCTTGATCGGAGAGGTAGCGCGGCGCGCGCCGGTAAGAAGAGAGGCTAGTTGCGGTGAGTGGTCTGGCCGCAGTGCGGCCGTGGCTGGAAGTTGCTTGGTTGCCATGCGGCAGCGTGAGTTGGAGGTAGCTTGATCGCAGTGCGGCAGATGGCGGTGGTTGCTGGTGAAAGGCTAGTCGTTGAGCGCGGTCGTAGGAGTTATGAGGCAGTGGCTACGTCAGATGCCCAGTGGGTCGGACAGTAACACAACCACCAGCGAGTCCAGGCGCGGTGCCCCAGTGAGTCGGGTGTGAGAGAGCCGGAGGGCCGAGGCAATCGTGCCTGGCGCAGCCTGCCGATGCCTCCGAAGACCGAGCGCTGACGACGAAGCCTGCTGGCTGATGTTGCTTGGTGTGGCTTGAATGTAGGCTGAAGTAAACTGATGAACTGCTGTTGGAGCTGCCCATTTTTATACACTGCTCGGTGGGCGGAGCGAAACTCGAAATTGAGGAGGAAGAATTGATTGGCTAGCGCGCGTAATGATGTAGTGCAGGCTAGCAGCGAGCGCAGTATAAATGCGAACGTTTGGAGCAATTTGATTGGTTAGCGCGCGTGATGGTGAAAAGTGATGTGAAGAGCGAACGTTGCAGAAATGCATGATAATGTGGGATGTTCCCACACTACATTTAGAAATAAACATTTATGACTGTGCATTCGCTTCTACTAGCGGCGTGTGTGCACGTTTCCACTAGCAGAGTTTAAATGCCCGACTGGCCAAAACAGGGTACTTTGGCCACGCGGCCATAGTCATCACTGGCACAAACGGGGCACTTCGGCACTTAAAGGTTAAGATTGCTATATCATCAGCATATCCTACTGTGAAGTGGCCTGTACTGTTGAGCTCCCAAAGAATATCATCCACGACCAGGCTCCACAGGAGAGAGGAAAGAACAGCCCCCTGCAGACACCCTCTCGCTGCAGCTGCTCTCAGGGTCTCTCCAGACAATGTAGCGCTTATATTTGTGCTTTCCAGCATGGCACAGTTCCATCTGCATATTGTGGACTCAATGCCATGCCTTTCAGCAGCCTGTTTTATTGTATCAAAGGAGGTTCTGTCAAAGGCTCCCTCTATGTCAAGGAATGCTCCAAGAGCAATATCCTTGTGTTCAATAGCACTCTCTGTGCATGTGACTTCATTATGCAATGCAGTTTCAGTAGACTTACCCATTTGGTAAGCATGTTGGTTTTGGTGCAGAGGATGAATTTTCAATGCACCGTCCCTAAAACCTAACCTAACATAAGCAAATCTTACCATGCTGTCCCCGTTGAATGTACAGGTGGGTGTTCGTATTGATATGAGGTTGCATAATGTGACTACATAACCAAACATAATCTAGGACTGGTGTGACGTCTGATATAATAATGTAACTAATCAAAACGTGACATTAAGTTATTAGTATAGCCAGAAACTCTTGTTTTTTAACATCATCTTAATTAATATGCTGGTTTCTCGTATTGCAGTCATTAGTATGAAAACTTTTCTGATACTGGTGTCAGAAGGTAGTACATACCCCTCCATCTTCAAGGGCCTTTCTTACTCCAGCTAGATCTTGGACTGGAACCCAGCATTCTGCAATGAGGCACTTCTTGGTGACATCCACGTTGAACATATTCAGTGTATGGTAGATGGCCTTCATTTTACGCACCATAACCATCCAGTTCTGAAGCTCCTTGACCACACTAACCAGCACACGCTGACGATGATCCTGTGTTTGATTGAGAACCTACACACAAAATATAGAGAGTTATTTTAGTTTCTCATTTCTCAGAAGTTTAAAAAGTTAATCTCTCTTGATTTATGAGAAAAGCATTTTTATTACATCAATAAAACAAATGAGTGATGGTTTATTAATTTTTATTGATGAATCAAATAAGTTCCAATTATTTATGTGGGTTTGTGGTATTATACCTAAAAAAGATTTAAACTGAAACATAAAAAATAAAACAAAATAATGAACACAATTATGAAGATATAAACCATATAGCATCTAAAACAAAGAACATTTACAATCAAATATAGTAAATAGTCACAGATATAGTTGCTTTTAGACATATTAACATGGTTTTTTATTACTTTGCCAGTCACAGTATCCACACGGTGTAAGGCATGAACTGTCTCCGCTTGCTCGGACGCTGGGGTCATGGGTTCGAATCCCACTCAGGTTGTGGTTATTTGGTGTGTGTATGGCTTTATTTTGTATTTGTGTTGCCGTGTGTTTAGGTAGCAGCCTTGTGATGGGCTGATCTCTCGCCGAAGGAGTCCTACCATCTGTGAAAACTGTTTACAGAACTGAATAAGAGGCCTGGGCCCCGAATGTGCTGGATGATCCATTGAAAAAAATTATTACTCCTGGCTTCTACTAATCTAATTTAAATTTTTTTTTTGTTTTAGCTATAGGCTGGATGGCCGTGGGGTTGGAGTTCAAGTCTCAGTACAGGCAAGATTTTTCTCCTCTCTACATCATCCATACCAATTCTGAGGCCCATCCAGCCTACTATCCAATGGGTATCGGGAGCTCTTTACCTGGGTGCAAGCTGACCATTCACCTCCAAGTAGTGCCGAAATCAAGAATACATAGACTTTTACATCCACTGCCCTATACACCTTCATGGCATAATGCTTAATCAGTTAAACACAAGGACAAATTTACCTTTCACTAAAATATTAATTTTATTGTTTCAATAGTTCTGTTTTTGTTCATTATTTTTATTATAGTTATGGTGCTAATAACAACAGTATCAACATCATTCCAAGTCACCACTTGTGACAGAAACTGTTTAACAAGAAATATTCAACACAAGGTAATACAGAAACATGACTTCCAAAGGAACTTTGGTATCGACTCTTCAACTAAGTTACTCGACCTGAGCAGCATTTTACTTAATTTTAAGTTAAAAAAGATTAGTAATTAATAATCTAAGGTCATGTTATTGTAGGATATCATCTAAGCTCCAGATTACATTTCTATGCAGTAAAAAGGTAATGGTACTACATGAGCTTATGGTAACACAGTGTGTGAATCACAGTACTGTGCCTGCTGCTGCAAGTAGCACTATGAGTAGTTCTGCAGGTAGGTGGGTCTGCAAACAGTAATCTCTCTGTCATCAGCTGTTATTATTTTCAAAGAAAATGCTTATTGAGAGAAGTTCATTGAGTTTGTATTTTTTTCTATATTTCATGTCATAACTGGACTGTGAATATGTCAATCACAGCCTCTTAGTAAATATCAATCCATCAGACTCTTCATTATCCTTTACAGGTTATGCAAACAAACACTGTAATTGGATAAAAAAATGAAATTCTCTTTGGAGTTCTCACTGGCGAGTTCTTAACCAAATGAATGTAAGCCTAAGTTTCACAGAAGTTTGCTCCATGTAAATATAAACGAGTTACATTTAAAACTTGCATAAAAACTATTTGTATCATGATAAAAAACAACATCAAGTACTCAAAAACAATGTGTTATTAGCTTTTGCTTTAGGAACACTTTTACTCTAGTTTTTAGACCTTCTTTATGTTCCTAGTCATCAAGCAGTCCTTCAGTCCATTTAACAGCAGCTGACTGGCCTATTTGCATCTCTGGAATGAGCATTTTCATTTGTTCCAACTCTCTGGCTTTGCATTCATTGAACCATACTCTACTGGTCAGAACCTCACAATAAATGTCTGGGCAATTAACTTGAAACTACTAATTATTTCTTTAGTATTATTTGTGAGACAGACAGAGAAAGAGATAGATGGTTTCAAGGTGCAACAGCATTGACAACTATGTATGTAGATGCACTTGAATCAAAATCCAGGTGAACTGTAATTTATTAAATCCTGCATAAAATGTAACAAAACAGTTATTTGTGTGAAATTGTTGTCCTGACTAATATTGGGTAAGAAAGCATTGTAAAACAAGAGTAAACATTAGGTTAAAAACTCTCTGAATATAGGGTCAGCAGGAAAGTGATAAGGAAGTTACATTTTTACATACAGTAGAAGCCTTATTTAATGATCCTTCTCTACCCTACTTTCCTAAAATAGGCTCATGCAACTCCATCCTGTCTGTGTAACCCCACTTATCAACTTCTGAATGTCTGAACCAGTCTTTGTGAAACTTGGTACAGCACTGCTATTAAACATGTCTAAATGGCATATTTCATAAATCCCTCCCATCAGTCTGCATGTCTGTATATGTATCCCTTCTACTGCAAGGCAAGAAGTCAGTAAAGTGTATCCTTCCTTTCATTGCTAGGCAACAGCTTGGAAAACATGTTCCAACATCAACAAATACATGCAACAACAGAAGAATCATTGGAAGTGTCATTTTCCATGTGGACCATGCCTTATCAAAGGAGAGTCTGTGGGTTTGTCTGTGTATCCCTCTAACACTGCTAGGTATTAACTAGGTAAAGAAGTTCCCATGACAACAAGGAATTGCTGGGGGCATCGTTTTCTATGCAGTCCATGTTGTATCAAAGAAAATTAGATGATTAGTTCTTTGTAGAACTTCTTGTAATAAATTCTCTCATTTTGCGTTGAAGTCAATGTTAAATTACCTCCACTTAAGATTTTCTTCAGTTCAGTGTTAAAAGCCACTATTCGCTGAAGAAACCTTAAATGCGGGTTTCAATGTCTTATTATACAGCTAGATATTCACCATATTGAGATCCTCAAGTCTTGTTCGAACACCCTTCACCATGTCTTCTCTCTCAGTAGCAACATTGGGACAGGGGTACAATGATGCATGGAAACCAGCACACACCTTCTTTACGCGAGATTTCAGCTGTTCTCCTTGGAAGAATGTCACAAATACAGTCTTGAAGATCTCATTACCCTGTAGGAAGGTAAAACCATACTTTTAAGAAGCGAGAATCATGATTACAGTCTTCTGTGGTGTGACATCATTTTTAGGGAACGTGGAGGAGCAGGTTCCTCTGAAAAATTCATACCAAACTCTATGGCATCAAATCCTGGAAGATAATAATCTTAAGACCACACTGTTGTTAGCTGATACCCATCAAGCAACACAATGTGTTTTACATAAAACTAAACCCCTAATAAATAAAGTGTTCTGAAGTATGCAGTCATATCATTCAGTCTGTTAAAACAAGGGCAAACTGAATAGCATGACTGAGTCACAACCTATATTTCTACAGAATTACAGTGACGACTTTATGTCGTCTATCACTTCTGATGCTATTGGATGGGTTCTCCTATACCTTGTCCATATGAGTCAATATCCTGTACTTTCAAGCACCATCTCATCACTGTTCCTATGTAGGTCATCCATAAAGTAAAGATCACTTGGTGATTAAAAAAATAAATGGTTAAAATAAAAAAAAAATATTTTATAACATTACTGCAGACTTTAAATCATTTTTCCACACAACCCCCATGAAGATTCACGCACTTGTCATATCACGTGATGAGTTTCTGTATTCCTGCCTCATAGAAATCTTCCACCAGTCCGCTGAACCAGTCTTTAACTGTCTTTTTCACTTCTTCGTTCTTACACATGTGTGTGCTACCCAAAATCTACTTCAAGTGTGTGAACAAGTGAAAATCACTTGGAGCCAGGGCTGGATTGTAGGGAGGATGGAAAAAAGTTCTACACGAAGTCAGCAAATAGCACGTGTGCTAGCAGTCTTTACTTTCTGGATGCCCCTTGTATATCACTAAGTTCCAAGTCTGACTGACAAGTACTGCCATAGAACTACCTCCTAGAAACACCACAGCTGATGGTGATAAATGCAGCTGCACAGAAAGACAATACTTTCCTCAAATGACCTTCAAATATCAGAAGAAATATATCATGTAAAGTTAATTTTCTGCAAACTCTCTTTTTAAATAAATGTATACAAAAAAGGCCTAGGCAATGCCCGCCTGGCCCTCTGTAGCACATTCTTATAAACATCTTATTCTATTATAGTAGTCACCCCACAATTTTTTAATATATCTCTTAACTCATCTCTAAAAATATATTACTAATATTCTGTCCATACACTCGTTTTTCTTTTTAAATAAATGTAGGAATTTTGTTTATGAAGTAATAGACTGAAGAAACTAGGAAAGACACCTCCAAAGGAAATATCTCACTGTGAAGTCACCAAAGCACTGAACCTGAATCTCTGTAGTAAGGACTGCTTATGCTATGACATGTTCTCAGTGAACTTATGCTCAAATATTACAAATTTCATAAAAGATCATAAAAGATTCTTGTAAGACGTCTCACTTTATGAACTAGAATTGTATTCTGCTTCTAGTGCAATGAGTGTTCTAATCAATCAATAATCCAATAGCTGCTGTGAAAGCTTCAGATCTTATGAGGATTATTCAAATGAAACACCATGACCATGGGAATGCGGTGTTTCCAGCAACAGCTCAGGTAGTTCACCAGGGAGGGTATCTAAACACTGGTGCAGCAATGGGATGTCTGTCTCAGCGCTCATGGGGACATCATTCCTTCATCCACAGCAGTCCATTAATATAATTTCATCCAGGCACAAGTAGCTGTAGCTATGGGCATGCCTTTGAACCTAAGTCACTCACCTAGCATAATCCTTGAATGGTTTCATGTGAATAAGCCTCATATATAAATTAATTCAGGTGGCAAACTTGCAAGGGCATTTTATCAAGGGTTTATGAATCGGGTATTAGGATTTGCCTTGTATTTTTCTTCTTATATCGAAGAATTTTTCCATAAAATTATCTGCACTAAAATCTAAAATTGTCTACACTGATAGATTTTCTTTTTATTATTCTTTGTGGGGAGAGATGGAGTCCACTTGGTATTGCAGCCACTACTGGCCTATTTACCAGCCCCAGATGATAGAAAATGGTGACTGTGGAGCAATTGGTGGAATGAAGATTGTCAGGGGAAACTGAAGTACTTGGAGAAAACCTTCCCCAACACCACTTTGTCCACCACAAGTCCCACATGACCAAACTCGGGCTGCTGCAGTGGGAAGCCAGCAACTAACCACCTGAGCTATCGCACAGCTTACATTGATATATGACGAAAATGACAGAATACATTTTATGATGATGACCATGAACATGGATCACTGGCAGTAGTTAGGAAGAGGACCAAAAGAAGGCAGTGAGATATATGCATGCTTCAGTTGGTATTGCAGTCTTGACCTGGGGGGGAGTTACACACAGTGTGCATAAAGTTACCTGCAAAAACAACAGCTACAGACAGGAGTAGCCAAATTTTAATGTTGAATTTTTAACAGCATATTATTAGAATGTCTTGTCTTGTCCTGTCTAAAAACACAAAAATTAGAATATAAAACCATGATTTTGTCTGTGGTTTTGTATGGGCACGCAACTTTGTCTCTGACATTAAGGGAGGAATGAGGGTGTTTGAGGGTGCTGAGGAGAATATTTTGACCAAAGTGGGATTAAGTGATAGGAGTTGGAGAAAACTGCGTAGTGAGGAGCTTCATAATTTGTACACTTCACCAAGTATAATAAGAGTGATCAAGTCAAGGAGGATGCAATTGGCAGGGCATGTAGCACGAATGGAGAGAAGATGAATGCATATAGGGTTTTGGTGGGGAAGTCAGAAGGAAAGAGGCAACTAGACAGACGTAGATGTAGGTGGGAGGATTAGTATGGACTGGATTGATCAGCCTCAGCATAAAGACCAGTGGAGGGCTCTTGTGAACACGGTAATGAACCTTCAGGTTGCACATAATGTTGGGAAGTTCTTGAGTGGCTGTGACTGGCAGCTTCTCAAGAAGGGCTCAGCTCAATGAGGTTAGTTAGTTACTTTTACTAGCATCCTCAACATACCAAAGAAAAATAATAATTATACCGTAGAAGGATCTTCCAGCGGCTGGTCAAGTTCAGCTTGTCTGAGGAACACATTGCCACGAGAGATCCTCCACAGCATGCGTTCGAATGCTGGCACTCTCTCCCTTGGTACAACACCTGCCACAAACCTGAAATCAATTATGAAAATAATAATCACATCCTCAGTTATGTACCAGCTACACATCATGTGACTTGTCTAAGTCTGCGGCCTTTAGTCTACAAGCGAACTATACCAACCGAGCGAGTGCGGCTTGTCGGCGAAGTAGTGCCAACTTTAGGAGATAGACTGTTGCATGTCAGCGCAATGGAACCCCACGGCCATCAACCTTTAATGTCTGAAGTGACCCGTTCAGGCCAGTGATGAGTAAGGACATCGTGGCCATAGTACCCCGTTTTGACCAGTTGGGCATTTAAACTCCGCTAGTGGAAGTGTGCGCACACACTGCTAGTAGAAGCGCATGTATAGTCCTAAATATTTATTTTTAAATGTAGTAATTACCAGACTAACTTGAGTAAAACCCTAATAGAAGAATTAAAATGATACCTAAGCGAAAAACAATAAAAAGAGTATACGTATGAGTTATGCCCAAACTCATCCACGAGCCAGTACTTTTATTGCAGATTCTGCAGATTAATGTGTTAAAAATATATAGTAAAATTCGATGTACATACCTTTTATGTTGTTATCTGCTTGATGTATACAGGGTGTCCCAGGAGGAATGTGCCAGACTTCGGGTGGGTGTCCTTATGTTAAAGTATGCCGATATAACCCAAAACACCTATGTCCAAAGTTGAATGGTTACGGAGATAATGGCCCAAGAAAAATGTGGTCTTCTTGTGGGTCCACGCACTGTACCTGTCAGCCGACAAGTCTTATTTGTCCTTGAGTGTGGTGATAACGGCTCACACTAGCCGTAAGCTTAAGCTTACACCAGAATGCGTAGTCAACCACGTTACGTCAGTGCTTGCCATTCATCTGACATGTATAGTGCAAGTGTTTTTGTAGTTCAATTTAATGGCTTCATGTCACTCACAAGTTAGTTTGATGTTACAAACATTATTAACATTACAAAAACCATATATTCCTGCCAGTTTTAATATGTATTTGGTAATCAACAAATGTGTAACACCGGTCAAAGTTTCACACTTCTCTGGCCATTATTTCCGTAAACGTTCAACTTTGGACATAGGTAATTTGGGTTATATTGGCATACTTTAACATAAGGAACACCGTCCCGAAATCTGGCACATTCCTCCTGGGACACTCTGTATGTAGGCTGAAATGAAACTATAGTATTCGATTTCACTACGAACGCACAAAAAACAGATCGCACTCTGTATCTCAGCCACGATGCAGCTGTCTGTTCACGCCCATAGAAAGGGCAATAATCTTTTGCAGCTATAATGGAAGGTCTTAGCACTGAAGAAAGGACCCTTCTAGCTATTTCTTGAATAGCCACGCTTTCATTCTTCTGTCATTTAGTCAAAAGATTCGAAAATCTGAAGAGTGTAACAAAGATGTAAGGTTTTCAAGCAGAGAACCAAATGATTTTATTGCTTCCATCTGTTTTATGGCACCAGGGACTGCTAAAATTTGTCAAGTGTTACAAACAGAAACAAATTTATAATGCAGAATAACTCTGTGAAGAACTTGGAAACCAATTTTGCAGTACACATCAAAATTAAAAGAAACAAATTGAAAATAGAGTATAACTTTTTGTATAAAATTTTTCAAATCTTCCATTGTAATATGCGACACTATGTTCTTTGCTGATACAAACAAAGTGAATTCCAACCATTTATCACAAAAATTGTGTTAGACACAGCATTTTTAAATACAATGCTTATAATTGTTTAAGCGCCCTAACATGAATGTACATTTAAATGCAGAGTAGCAACAGGCATTTAAACGTGCACCAGCAGCAGGCATTTAAAGGTTAATTTAGATTTTCTAGACCGGAACTACTACTTTTCCATTCAAGCAGCTCCTCAGTTATCCTCATGAGGCTGATTGGACCCTGTTCCAGACCCAGTACTTCTCAGATCATCTGGTAGTGCCAGAAATCAAATCTGGACCTCTGGATCTGTAGCAGGAACTCTGACAACTGGATGACAGAAGCGGTCTTTATGTGTGTCATTGTGTAAAAAACGTAAATATATTCCTGTGACAGGACGTGGAGGCCGATTAGGTTGCGAGATGTCAGGGCTCCCACATTTTCTAGGCAGTTGGTTCAACAGATGGTGGTGAGGTTGTCAGCCTTACTCGCCAGCTGCCCTTTACCCCCCAGGAAGATTCCTGGTACTCATTTTCTATTAGAGGCTGAGTCAACCCCATGGGCCATAATGCAGCTGGAAGCACTAGGTCAATTAAAAAGCAAGTGACCTCATTGGGAATTGAACCCAGCATAGTGCCTCAACCAACTACACTACCATGTGCTTCATAGGATTATGTAGGTGGCATGTACATGAGATGAGACGAGAGACATGTGTGCTATGATTGTTGAATCTGAAGAGATATATAGAAGGTAGCAGCTTAACTTCTTCAAGCTCATTGGTAACCATATATACCTCCTGTTTTAACATTACAAGAACTATGCATTTTGTCTGCAGAAATATTTATGTGTTTCATATGATTCTCACAATAAATAATGTTTATTTGCTTACAATAGGTTTAACCAATTGATGTTTGTAATGGAAATACATTGTGTTTTCTATGAGGAAGGAACTGAATTTTTAAATACTACAGAAAAAACTGTATTTTGAATATCATCCCGGAAGGGTATGTGTAAAAATTAAAGAGGTAAAGTCCCAGTGCTTAATTAAGAACTGTGGCATGAAGGTATATAGGGGAGTGAAGGTACAGCTCCATGCATTTGGAACTTCTGCATTAGATGTGAATGATTAACTTCACTCTGTGTCTGCTTTATTCCAAGAAAGTCTGCTCCCCTACTGGGAATAAATTATAAGCTTCCAGGTGGTCAGTACCCTGGTCAATATACTGACTGAGCTTCCTCTGCCCCCTGGTGATGGCACAGGGTTTCTGCTGCTGCTGCAAGAAACCAGGAGTGAAACCTGGGCGTTAAAGCCCATGAGGATTTGTTGTGCTGACCACGTGACACCCTCTATCCGCAAACGTTGGCACTAACTTTGCCGACAAGCGACAGTCACTCAGTCGGTATAGTTCGCTTGTGGACTACAGGCCACGGAGTTAGTTAGATAATGCTACACAAAAATCAGTCTATGCACTAGAGAAACTTTAAGATACTTTGCCATCAGTTTCAGTTTACCTCTGGTAAGAATTCCCCTCCTCCTTATGGTTGACAATATATAAGTACTGCAAAAATTATATAAGTTTATCATTCATTCATTTCACAGGTTTTCTTTCCTTTGATTTACAGGCAGCTTATACACACAAGTCTGCAGAGGAATAAGAATGTAGAACGCTAAGAATGGGAACATGGGAAATCATGATACTTACGAAGATTACAGTCTTCTGGGTTGTAACGCCAAGTAGATCAGAGACAGCCTGATGTTTCAGAAGAACTCACTTTCATCCTCAGGGCTGAAGAGTAAGCCAAGAAAAAACAGCAGAAGCGGGTGGAAAGATTACTTGAATTATTCTTCAACCCTGAAGATGGAGGTGATATGCTCCTCCAGGGCATCAGGCTCTCTCCAAACAACATGGCATTACAACACAGAAGACTGAATTCTTCACAGTCATCCCAATGAGAACTTTAAATCCAAAATATTTTATGTTCAGCAATGATTAAACATGCCAGAACTTAGGGAAGTTCTCACTTTAGAAATCGTATGTTACTACATACCCTCACAAGCATTAAAATTAAATTTAAAATTATTTTATTCTCTTCTGCTTAACGTTGTTCAACAGTAATTGCAAATGTTAACATTCTTTTTATAAAAGTACAGAGAGAAGGACCAGGAGGGTGGAGAGAAAATAAGAAACAAAAAGTATTAGAGAACAATTAAAGATTAATACGAGTATATTGGATCTAATAAATAAGAGAAGGTGATATGAGCATATTTTAGATGATGACAGAATCCCAAGAAGGTATCAGATATGAAAATAAAAGGAAAAGGCCCTACAGGAATATCAAGATCAAGATGGGAACGACAGATTATGGAAGATGTGATGTCAAAGGAAGAACAGAAAGAAATGAGAAGAAACTGAGGGGACAGAGTGTGGGAAGACAGAGACAGATGAAGAGGCTTGGTTGTTAGACAATCCATATAAACGTGACATCAGAGAAGGAGGAGATATTTGTGGATTGTGGCCCTATCATTAGAGAATTTTGTTCCATATTGTGATCACCTTAAAAGCATAGCTGATATAGTGACTAGCTATAGGCTGGAGAACCATGGAGTCGGAGTTTGGGTCCCAGTAGTGTCAAGAATTTTCACTTCTCCACGTCGCCCAGATTGCATCTGGGGCCCACCAAGCCTCCTATCCATAGGGTACCAGGGGCTCTTTCCCAGGGGTTTAAAGCAGCAGTGGCGTGAAGCTGACCACTCACCTCCAGCTAGTGCTGAGGTCAAGAAAATGTGGATCTATACATCCACTTCCCCATATGCCTTCATGGCGCAGAGCTTAATTACTTAGCACAGGGATAACTTTACCCTTACCTGTACCTTATGACCACCTGCCTCGTTGCATATTCAATGATCAACTACATCCTTCTGAACATAATCACAGTTAAAAAGGAAACAAATGAAAGTCTTTTGTGAGTTTAGACTGTGTTAGAATGACATCTGTTTTACTCTTTTAGTGTAGTACTCTGTCACAGAATGACTCTGAACTAAATATTAAACATTTCACGTGCTTCATATTTAACTTTGGTTTAACAATGAACATTTAATACTGACTGTTTATTCATTCAGTGTAGGCCTACAGGGTTTCAATTTCTTGCCAATTTTCTAAAAATGAACAGCTGCATGTGAATTTAATGTTTGTTTATTGTTTATTACAAGGGAAGAATTTACATAGTCTTGACTGTTTCATTTATTATTCCTCCTGCTGAACACACCTGTTAAGTGTACACTGTATAAATTTACAATCTTGTCTGTAACTACTATGAGCATAAGAAAACAATATGAGCATGGATTAAGGAGTCAGGACACCTCAGTCAACAGTGACAGGCTACAGGCTGGAGGTTGGGGGTCAATTCCCAGCAGGGGCAAGACTTGTCTCTCCTCCACAGCATCCAGATTGTCTCTGAGGCCCACCCAGCCACCTCTCCAATGGGTACCAGGGGCTCTTTCCCTGGGGGGGTAAAGTGGCAGGGACATGAACCTGACAAAGTACTTCCATCTAGTGCCAAAGTCAAGAATTGTGAAGGTATATCTCCACTCTCCCATGTGTCTTCATGGCATAGTGCTTAATTAATTAAGCACAGGGACAACTTTACCTTTAAGGGATTAAAATGCAATATGATTTCCTACTGACCCTAGACGTCCACGGATGTGAGTGGTCTGTGCCGCTGAGTCCTCGCTGATGAGTGCACGTGTCAGTGAGTCCGTACCACCGATCCCTTCCTGTTCATTGAAGAACGATTCTGTTTTCTCTAGGACATGTTTCAGTTCAGTCAACTCCAGAAAATTTGACTTGAGGTTCACAGCATTTTGACTCAGCTCCAAGATCTCATTTTCTGTCTTCTCCAGAGCAGTCTGTAAGATAGATGAGACATCAGTAACACCAAATTTACAATGAATACGATATTTTCAGAGCTTCTCTATACCCTGTTAAGAAAGTAATGAAAAACACAAAAACATCCATCCAAACCTACAATTAGAACATCTTTAAATGCTAATTACGTTAGTCAACAAGGTAATATAAAAGAAAATTAAAACCAAAATTTATGAAGTTCATCATCATGCAGTTTTCTTCATCAACATTTATAATATAGAATAAGTAATGTACCCACTGACTGTATTTTATTCTCTATTCAGTGGTTATGTTTATAATTTGTATGTAGTTCTGTATGGTTGTGAAACTCAGTCTCTGACATTAAGGGAAGAACGTACTCATAGACTGAGTGTGTTTAAGAAAAGAGATCCAAGAAGAAGAAATAATAGGAAATGCATGCTTGTTTCATTAATGAATCTTCACATGCCATTTGCATCAACAGGCAAGCTTTGACCCCCAGCTTCCTAATCTTTTAGCAAAACTGAATGTGCATGTGTTGTTCTCTAGGAGCTGGGATAGCTCACTCAGTATAGCATCTAGCTACGGGCTGGACAACAGAGGGGTCAGAGTTTGAGTCCTGGTAGGGTCATGAATTTTCTCTTCTCCATGTCATTCAGACCGGCTCTGTGTACCCACCCTCCCATCCAATGGGTACAGGGAGCTCTATCCTCAGGGGTAAAGCAGCTGTGGCGTGAAGCTGACCACTCACTTCCTGCTAGTTCCGAGGTCAAAAAAATGTAGATCTATACACCCACTCCCTCGACACGCCTTCATGGTGTAGTGCTTATTTAGTGAAGCACAGGGACAACTTTTCTTTACTTTTTACTTTTATGTGTTGTTCTCTACTCTTGGACATAATTACATCAACATGTGGCAGAAGTACCATGATTTTAAACACTGATCATGAAGGACTGAAGCAATAGACACATTTAGTGCAGCCATGTCCTTGTACAGCTGATTTATCTGAGATATGCAATTGGACATCGCTCAACTGATAACAGCAGCTCTAATGTTGTATGCACACATTTGCATGTAATACAATGGAGGATTAAGAAAACAATACTGCATAAAACAAGGTTATAATTGTTACAAAGATAATACTAACAAGAAGACAAGAATATTTATTTCTCCTACATCAGAAGATGGGGGCCCGCAGTAGCGTAGTTGGTTGTGGCACTAGGCTACAAGCTGGAAGGTTGCGGGTTCAAGTCCTGATGAGGGCACTGATTTTTTTCAATTGAACTAATCCTTCCAGCCGCACTATGGCCCAGGGGTCGACTCAGCCTCTAACAGAAATGAGTACCAGGAATATTCTTGGGGGTAAAGGGCGGCTGGCACGTAGGGCTGACAACCTTGCCGACTGTCTAGAGAAAATGTGGGAACCTCACCATCTCACAACCCTATGGGACAGCCTGTTACTGGGTTAGATTTAAGTGGCCTCCGTAGTCTTAGAGGTAACGTTCCCACCTCATGACTTGTGGTATGCGGGTTCAAATACCTGGCGGAGGTCGTCGAATTTTTAAGGGCGGAAAAATTCAGGGAACAAGGCCTCTGGGAGGGACTTTAAGCTGTGTGTCCCGTGTCGTAACTTTACGGCATGTAAAAGAACCTCATATCGCCAAAGGGGATCACTGAGCCAAATTCCAGGACGTTTCCCGCCCAACAATAGTCTCTAAGGCCTCTGATAGATGGGGGAAGCATTATAGACACCGCTAACCAAGTGGCCGAACTCACTTGCTCGGCGGGACTGATAGTACGCACCATTTATCGGTAGGGTAAAGAGACTGGTAGAATATCATAGAGGGAAGCACAATAGATCAAACTGGTCATGGTGCATGGGGAAACCCACCCTCTCTAAATAACTAACTAACTAACTAACTAACTACTGGGATAGATTTACCTTATTTTTACTTTTTACATCAGAAGATTGAAAATATCACCATGAATTTAGCCACATAATCACTGGTACATTTGTCTTAAATTGGGATTTCACTGTATATAAAGCCCCCTGGCTTGAAATTCTGTCTTACTGTTATTATATAGAAGTAACTGTTATTGGTAGTTACAAATAGGACTGACATGCAGCAGTGAGGGGCACCTATGCTTCTGTCGCCACTGCAGCCTAAATATTTGCCAAACACAAATTTCCAATATTAATAGCATGCACGTTCCACAAAATCATGGCTTAATCTTTAAGTGCCGAAGTGCCCCATTTGTGCCAGTGGTGAGTAAGGTCGTCGTGGCCAAAGTACCCCGTTTTGGCCAGTCGGGCATTTAAACTCCGCTAGGGGAAGCGCGCGCATACGTCGCTAGTAGAAGCGAATGTACAGTCCTAAATATTTATTTTTAAATGTAGTAATTACCAGAGAGACTTGAGTAAAGCCCTAATAGAAAAATTGAAATGATACCTAAGTGAACAACTACAACAACCAAAAGAGTATACGTATGAGTTATGCCCAAACTCATCCATGAGCCCGTACTTTTATTGCAGATTCTGCAGATTAATGTGTTAAAAATATATAGTAAAATTCGATGTACATATCTTTTTTGTTCTTATCTGCTTGATGTATATATAGGCTGAAATAAAACTACAGTATTCGATTTCACTAAGCACGCACAGAAAACACACTGCACTCTGAATCTCAGCCGAGATGCAGCTGTGTGTTCAGGCCCATAGATAGGCAATAAGCTTTTGCAGCTATAACGGAAGGTTTTAGCACTGAAGAAGGGACCCCTCTAGATTTCTCTTGAATAGCCATTCTTTCATTCTTTTGACCTTCAGTCAAAAGATTCGAAAATCCGAAGAGTGTAAGCAGTGCTAGCAGAAGGCCAAATGATGTTATTGCTTCCATCTGTTTTATGACATCAGGGACTGCTAAAATTTGTCAAGTGTTAAAAACAGAAATGAATTTGTAATGCAGAACAACTCAGTGAAGAACTGAGAAATCATTTTTGCAGTACTCATCAAAATTAAAAGAAAAAAATTGAAAATGGAGTATAATTTGTATAAAAAATTTCAAATCTTCCGTTATAATATGCAACAGTATGTTCTTTGTTGATACAAACAAAATTAATTCCATCCATTTATCATAAAAATTTAGTTAGATACAGCATTTTTAAACAGAATGCTTAAAATTGTTTAGGCACACTAACAGAAACGGACATTTAAACTCAGAGTACCAATGGGCATTTAAACGCGCACCAGCAGCGGGCATTTAAATAAACTCCTGCCAGCTCAAGCTTACCACTATTTCAGAAGTCTGGCGTTTAAAGGTTAATGAATATAAGAGTGATCAATGGAAAGTTTAGCTGTAGAAACTGTACTTACAGATGGGAATTATTTATTTTGACTGTTGTGCTATGTTGCTGCATTTCAAACCATTTTGAATTAGGTGTGGCTAAACATTAATACTAAAGATTACATCATATGCATGCTGAAAAATATGCATCATATGGTGGTAAGTTGAATAATGACCATTAGTAAAATTTACAAACTGTCTGTCAGTGTTTAGTTTGTAACTGAGGCCCACATTACTCAACCACCAACTGTTTCAGTTGGTCAAGATAATGAATGAAAGAAATGCATCTCTGCTGTTCAGTGGTGAATTAGGAAATGGCTATTATGCTTTCTTGTCACTTTAAGAAAAAAAAGAGGTTAGGTATTTTTGATAAAGTTTGTGTCTACAGACAAACCTACAAAAAGAATTTCCTCTACACAGCAGAAGTACTTAGTTCATACTGTTATTCTATCAAGTTAAGTTAACTTATCAATTATTAATGCAGTAATTGATAAGTTAAACAGATCCTGTTTTGCAATCCGATCAGTTAAATCCTTTTTACCACTGGAGACATTAAAAATGATGTATTTTTCCTATGTACATTCTATAATAACGTATGGATTAATATTCTGAGGTAACTCCCCGCATAGTATAAAAGTGCTTAGGATGCAGAAAAGGATAATTAGGATTATAACAAATACAACAAAGAGAACATCGTGTCGTAGTTTGTTTCAAGAATTGGATATCCTCCCCCTACAAGCTCAATATATATTGTCGATCTCTCTGTTTGTCATAGTAAATAAGGAATTGTTCACATTCAACTCACAAATGCATAATTGTAGTACCAGATCTATCTGTGATCTGCATTATCCGCAAACTAGTCTGACACAATTCCAAAAAGGAATATGTTACATGGGGGTAAAGATCTTTAATCATTTGCCACCAAAAATCAAATCTATGTCTAATGACTTGAAAAATTTTAAAATTCAGTTGACAACATTTTTATTGCAAAACTCTTTTTATACATGTGATGAATTCTTTAGTAACAAATTTGCCTAGAAATAAGGATAATAACATAAACAATTTTAATATTGCATAATTTTATGTATGGTGATGTAAGACTGTTTTTTTATATAAATTTAACACATGTTTTTTTATCTATTTTAATGATTATAAACTGTACATATATATTTATATTTGTATTGTACTATATTAATTATGTGACTGGTTCTATATCTATGTATATGGATTTATGGAATATACAATAAATGAATGAAAGTATCCTAATATAAATTTCTCACTGAAATTTCAATGGACTTTATGCTAGTCATACTCATATTTTTAAATTCTTTTAAATGAAGAATAACATTCTTTTAACCAGCATCAAAATTAAAATATTTAGGAACATAAAACACAAGTGTATTCAGCGTTGGAGTGAAGAAAAAAAGCAGAACAAATTTAAAACCAATATATTTAGGGCTGGGCCAGAAGACAGAACAGATACAAGTATTTTCAGGGTTCACTACTCCAAATTTTCATGAGTTAATCATCATTCTAGTGTTGTTCCATACTCATTTACCACCACCTCTTGAGGTGTGCAATTTCCCTGACTAGGCAACATGGTATTACACCTTCAGTTTTCAAGTTTGGAACCATTGGATTGTTACTGAGTAAAGAAGTTAGTCTTAGAATTTTTTCTGATATTCTTTGAAATTCCAGCACATAACACATAGACAGCATTACCACAGAGATGCAGTTTTGTATACTTTCTGTGTGTTATGGTGCCCAGATTGTTGCCAAGACTAACAAACAAACACAGATTCTCGTCACCTCTGGACACTAACATCTGCACTGTCTACAGTTATAAAACCAACACAACTATGACAGTAATAAGGTGAAAAAATGTAACATATTGTAGCTTTAGTAAAGAGACCATAAAAACTAATTACATGTCACCAAAAACAAGGATTTTAAGAAGGTTTATAAAGTAAAGGTTTGGAGGAGATGGATGCTACTTCACTCAAAGTAAGAAGAGTTGCCCACGTCACTTGATAAAACAAATACACAATGTGTTTGGTTCATAAACGTGTATATTTTGCCATACCTCGAGATCCGCGATCTCCCTTGGGTTGGGTGAGTTAGGTAGGTCTTCAATTTCAGGAATATGCAAATTTTCCTTGTTGACTTCAGCTTCAATGTAACGAAGTTTCCGTTCAAGCTCATCACAGCGCCGTACTTCATTTACAAATTTGCGCTGAAAGGCATTCACGTCTGCATTCAACTGCAATATGAACACTTTGATTTTAATATACTGTTAACAGATTTGATCAACACGTTGCCAGACAACAGCTCTGTAAACACAGTCCAACACGCAACAATAGATGAGGCTGTGTTTTCTATGTAGTCTGCACCACGTCCAGTGCTGGTAACAGACTAATGAACTCGCAGTCTGGCACATGACATGTGTTATCTGTGTGGTGTGCGCCACACAATAGAGGGACTGCGTTTACTGTGTGTGGTCTGTGCCAAGGGGATATAAGAGACAATATTATATTTAAGCATCCTGTTGCACTCCATACGATAAATGACATGATACATATGATGAACAAGATCAAGGACACATAATATATTGTTTGCACTTGGGACGGAATTTGTATCATTATATCATTTGCAACAGACGTGACCAGAGTGGTTTGAACGGCTGTTGTACTGCGATGTGGAAAGCAAATGGAAAAACTACCACATTATCACTTTTCCTGGATAGTCTCTTTCCAAAAACAGAAGATCGCATTAAGTGGACGAACTGTTTTGGAAGAGACTGTGGACCTGTCGTCTGACAGATTACTGATGAATGAATATCATTTATCGGATATAAGAGATACAGGAATGGGAAGTGACTTCATTTGAGTTCCGAAGTTCAAAGAGAACAGCAGTGTAACCAGAAGAAGAATTAGAAGACTTAGTGTGTGACGTTACATGTGCTGTAGTACATCAATATTGGGAATGTGTAATTTAGTGTGACTTTTATAGTTCCTGTGTTTTAATTGCATTACCAGGAGATGACTAATGTGTGTGTTACAGTAAATTATAACACACTGATATATTGGGTTTTTGGACTTTATCCATCGTCCTGGTTTTTAAGATAACAAATAAAAACACGACGTTTCGGAAACTTGATCTGTTTCCATCCTCAGGTGAAGGAAAACACCTATTCTGTTGGGTCCGTTAGAAAGAGCTAACCTCAATCACTGGACAAACCGATGTCACAAAACACGAAGATTAAAAATACCTGAGACCAGGCTAAGTCCATGAGAGTTAATAAGAAAAATATTCATAACAAATTGTAGCAAACACTTACAAGCGTGGAACCAGGATAGATAGATCTGTAGAAATTTATGCCACGAAACTGAACTCGTAACCAGGTCCATGACCCCACGGCATGGAATAGAAAGAAGAACTAGTAACAAAAACTAATAGTGTCTAACTAGCATCAACAATGGAGTAAATCACGTCTATCTAATTTAGAACTTAATAGAAATAAATAAAAGCATATATCACGTCATACAGATCTTCTATGTGAATTGGTGACTTCATTGCTGATAATAGGGATCCAAATGGGAGAAAAGTCCAAACTGGGTTGGCTAATTGGGTTGGCCGAGCATGCCATGTGGGCCGCTTCCTTGTATTTCCTATACCTGACGTGGCTTTCAATATCCAAAATCTTAGCTTCATCCCAGCCTACCCTATGTCCCTCTTCATAGGCATGTTGGGCTAGTTTAGATTTTTCTAGAAGACCTTCTTTTAGGTTATGCCTATGTTCCCGGAGCATGGGAACATGTTTTGTGACATCGGTTTGTCCAGTGATTGAGGCTAGCTCTTTCTAACGGACCCAACAGAATAGGTGTTTTCCTTCACCTGAGGACGGAAACAGATCCAGTTTCCGAAACGTCGTGTTTTTATTTGTTATCTTAAAAACCAGGACGATGGATAAAGTCCAAAAACCCAATATATCAGTGTGTTATACACCATCGTCAGAATCCTATAGTAACTACTAGTAAATTATAAAGTGTAGAAATAGCGACAGCGCTATAATTATGTGCAATTACTGGTGGTGTGTATCAGGAGTAAATAAACCCGTTCATCCAATCAAGAACTAACACACATGACAATACCATACCCCATCAAGTTAACGAAATAAAAATTAATTTGGTTACTAATTTAGTCAGACAGGTTCATCCCTCTGTAGATCAGATTGCACAAAGTAACTAGCTTACACCAAAATGTCTTCTCACCCACAAGCACTGGTGTGTGGCAGTCCACAAACATTAAATGTTCCAAGTAGATTCTACAGGATTCTGACGATGGTGCACATGATACTCAGAATTACTGGGTTTTCGGACTTTGTCCATTGTCTGGTATTCTAAAAACTAGAAAACACAATGTTTCAGAAACTGGATCTGTTTCCATCCTCATGTGAGAGACCTAACAGAGTAGTATCTGCCCCACACCTGAGGACCGAAATGGATCCAGCTTCTAAAACGTGTTTTCTAGTGTTTAGAATACTGGACGATGGATGAAGTATGAAAACCAAGTAATTCTGATTAAGTGTTTCCTTGTGCAATGTTTTAAAATTTTCCGCTTTTTGCAGACATCATATTGACAAATGTGAATCAGGAGAGCTCAGTTGGTATAGTGACTAGCTACTTGGCTGGATGAGCGATGGGTCAGAGTTCAAGTCCCAGTGGATTCAAGAATTTTAACTTATCCATGTTGCCCGGATCGGCTCTGGGGTCTACCCAACCACCTATCCAATGGGTACCAGGGGGCTCTTTCCCTGGGAGTAAAGCGGCCGGGGCATGAAGCTGACCACTCACTTCCAACTAGTGAAAGATCAAGAAAACTTGGGTCTATACATCCATTCCCCTATACACTTTCATGGTGTAGTGTTTACTTAGTTAAATACAGGAACAACTTTACCTTTACCATATTTTTAAATGTTAAAGAAAGCTAATGCCATCTGTTAGAAACACCTGGGATGAACTACCACCAAATCAGTTCACAAACATATCATAAACGCTTGGTAAACACCCCGTCCCCCTCCCCCGCAGTGACATAACAAGGGACACCGCAGTTGCTATGCAGCAATAAGCAACTCTAGGCAGCACTGCCCAGCAACGCCTTTGTAAAGACAGCAGGGAGTCCGTGCAAAGACTGTTGCTAGGCAATCGGTAAACATGACGTTAGGCAACAGTGGTACCTATCACGTAACTGTTTTCTGTGTTGTCTGTGCTGATGCTAAATAAGGAGCAGCGAACACTATCCAGTTACTAGTTAGTTACTAGTGAGTGATTAGTCAGTTGAGTTTCAATGTAGCGATCGCCGAGTTCAGTGATTATTGAGTATTGAGCCAGTTACTAGTGAGTGAGTTACTAGAGAGAGAGTAACCAGTCAATTGCTGTCTATCTTTCGCCGGAGTATTTGTGATACTGCCAATGGCAGTAATGTTGAGATTGTAAATTGTGTGATTGTAAGAGCGAGTGGAATAAATTCGCTACATCAAATAAGGCGTAAAGTTATCTGTCACATTATACACCCAACGCGTGATAATATTATGCTCAGCTGTGAAAGGACTAATTCAGTACAGCAACGCACTCAGAAAAGCTGCTCATAGAGATAAAAGTGGCAGTGACCACACTGAATATCTAATCTCATGGGGAAGAGAAGATTCTTTCAGTCTGTTGAGAAAAATAGCCCTTTTGTATGCTAAACTTGTCCATATGCTTAATTGTAGGGAAATGCAGATGTATGGGTGTGTGAATGCATTCTAAACCTCCACAATAGATGAAAGCAAACTGTCAGCTTCATTCCCTAGCCACTTTATTCACGAAGAAATGGGCCCTGGTACTTTTACACATTAGACAGGAGACTGGATGGTCCCAGAACCAGTCTGGATGTGCTAGAGATGAGAAAATCTCTTCCACCTGTTGGACATGGAATTCCCAAATCTTCAGCCTTCCAGCCTATAGCCATTTCACTTAGTGGGGGGTGGAGTCCAGCTGGGTCCACTTGGCACAGTGGCCACTGATTGGCCTACTGTACCTGCCCCAGGTGATTATGATGATGGAGAATATGGTGGAATGAAGATTGGCAGGGGAAACCGAATTACTCGGAGAAAACCCGCCCAGCGCCACTTTGTCCACCACAAATCTCACTTGACCAGAACTGGGATCAAACCCAAGCCTTGTGGCAAGCCAGCAACTAACTGCTTGAGCTGTGGCGCGGCCTTTAGGCTGTAGCCATTACTGTAATGATTCCATTTATGAGTAAAATCAATCAAAACAGAATTAGAGCCCCACAGTTTTCACTCTCTCATATACATATGTGGTGTACAAAAAAAAGTTGTGATTGTGGGAAAAATAATTTTGAATTTTTAATGTATTTACATGTTTTCAGCACCCCTCAATAGGAAAAGGTGGTTTTGGAATACCATCCGTCTATTTTTCTGTCTATATGCATGTATGTACAAATGTGTGCCTCACAAGCACATGAATGGTTGAACATACTTTATTCATATTCCAGGTTTAAGAGTTTATCCATTCTCAGTTATGGGCTGGGTGCTTAAGAACATGCTAGCTTCAGAAACAGAGGCAAATCATAGGAGCACCCAAACATAAAACTGTGATTTTCTTAGAAATAGCTGAAACGATTTTGATTGAATTTCAGTCATTCATGAAGATTGTTTTCGTAAATAAATCAGAAAGGTAGTATTTTCAGGAAAACACACAGGTAGGCCCTTTAAATACGTAAGTATGTTCTGTGTTTTTCCACCAATCGCCTGTCAGATTAAGAAAATTTTGGTTTCATTATCAAAATTCATGCACAAGCACAAACTTTAATAGTTTTTATACTTCATCTCTGACTCATAATACAGAGTTAAGTGAGAGAGCACAAATTCTGTAAGCAAAGTACATTCAATTTGAAAACTTCTGCAGTCTGGGGTGTTTCGCAGTTTCTTGTCTATAAGCAGAGAAAATACCAATGGAACTTCAATATCAATCTTATACCTTTACACAAAGGAATATACAACTGTGCTGTTCCTTCAAGTACATAAAAATGGAAACGTCTCTGATATGGAACCTTGCATTAGCAGTTTTAAATTTCTGCCAACTAAATCCAACTCACACCTTCATGACTTACATCGAAAAAACTGGCTTTTATTTTGGAGGTGAACAGTTCAAGTCTCATCTGGGCCACCAACTATTGTAACAGATTTCTCATAGTTTACCTTAACCCATTAATACTAATGTTGGGATAGTTCCCTGAAACAGGTCATGACAGCTTTCTCTACATCCTTTTCAATTCATCGTTCATCAGTCCTAATTATCCCACTATTTCACATCATACAGTCTGAGCTGCTGCGAACATCATGAAATAAACCACAAATAAATAATTTGTGTCTTATTCCCCAAGATCAATTTTAATGTTCTCCTAAAATCACAGGCAAGTTTACTATCCCAGCAGTTCTCTATGGAGAGAAAATATTAAGCAGGTTCCTTTGGCATGCTATGTACTCCATTTGTCTATCAATTCTTCTCCTTTGGGTACATATTATGACAAAAATCTGTTCAAAACTTTTAATTTGTTCTTAGCCCACTTTCCTTATTTAAAAAAAAAAAATAAGTAGGCTTATGAGTTCACCTGGCTGTGTGAATGTATATATCCCCTCTAACAACTTTTGAATGCCTGAACCTGGCCACCTGAGGCCATGTCAACAGCGCACCTAACCACCCATCGGTAATACCAACACTGCAGCCTCTCAAACTGATTAATATTATCCTAATGCCTGAACTGTCACAAAAAAAAAAAATGCATGTACTTGTTCATACATCATGCCATCTGAGGCTATCTGAATGGCGCACCTCAGAGATCCCTCCCATCAGTAATAACAACACTGCAAACATCTCAAAATGTATTGCTTTTCAGACCTCATTATGCACCAATACAAATTTTTTCTACTTATATCAAACACTCAAAATGTAGTGAAAGCTCCTCATGGTGTGAAGATTAATTCTGACAGTGGTAGTAGAACTGACCCATTCAGGTGGGGAGGGGGGGGGCACAATGTAGACAGGGATTGTGGCAAACATTCAAACTTCAGGGAAAGCTGTCACTCTTCTTGTATCGTGAACAGATATCACAGCCTTAAGCACTGTGCCTTTTCATTAGGCACCAACATCCTCCCTCACACCTGTTGTTCGCTTGTACTTGTACTCTACACAGTTGCTATCAATACTGCTGAATTTCATTCAAAATAAATGGTACTGCCCTAGACTGCTATCAGAATTCTGATGGAAGAACAAGTAGTTTTGTTCCATACATGTGCGTGCTCTATCACAACTTTTATTGTATATTTTCTTGTTATCTCCCGCTGAATTAGCCCGGTCTCCGGTGATTAAATTGTTGTTAAATCTCACAGGGGTTCAGTGACTGAGATTAGGTCTTCCTAAGGGGCCCAACTGAGTAGGTGACTTCCCCCCCTCACCTGAGGACAGAAGTTGATCCAGTTGCTAAAATGTCGTGTTTTCTATTTTCTAGAAAAAGTCCAAAAATCCAGTAATTCTGTTTGTTATACCCCATCGTCAGAACCTTTTGGAATCTAAAAGTAGTTTTGTATCTCATGTTCCTGAATTTCAAACATCCACTGTTCCATCACCGTTGACAATCGGACCTATGTTTACACGACATTTTCTAATTGGGTATGACCTCAGGTACAAGCTCCCAGAGGTTAGGCATTAAGTAGTCATCGCCATGTTTAAGTATTTAATTTCCTCAGAAGTAAAATAAGGAAAAAAGCGTTCTCCAAATTTTTGACTATGAAGTTCATACAAAATGCCAACAGATGCCATATGCAACAATGTTAAGGTTTAAAATTAAATCATTTTAAAATTTGTCACGGCACTACATGGTCATCACGAGGGACCTGCTGTGTCTTCTGTGTTACTGCAATCAGTACTTTCATATTTACTATACACTGTTTCTAAATGAAGTTGATGTAAACATTCACACTGCACACTAGACAGGCAACAGGTAAAGTTGTCCCTGTGCTTGATTAATTAAGCACTACACCATTGAAGTCATATGATGTATAGATCCACATTTTCTTGACCTCAGCACTAGCTGGAGGTGATTGGTCAGCTTCACGCCCCGGCTGCTTCAACACCGGGGAAAGAGCCCCCAGTTCCCACTGGATAGGAGGTTGGGTGGACTCCAGAGGCGGTCTGGATGATGTGGAGAAGAAAAAATTCTTGACCTTACCCAGACACGAAATCTGATCCCTCGGTCGTCCAGACGGTAGCCAGTCGCTATACCGACTACGCTATCGCATACCAAAAAAAGATAACGTGCGGCATAGAGGAAATAACTACATTGACTTCATTTAGAAACGTTAAAGGATTTCATTTTAAATCTTGAGACTGTTGCAATAGTGGATGGTATACTTACTTACTTAGTCATGGAGCTGAGCCCTTCTTGAGGAGCCGCCAATTCTGCAGCTACTCAAGAATTTCCCAGCATTTTATGGAACCTGAAGGTTCATTACCGTGTTCACAAGAGCCCTCCACTGTTCCCTATCCTGCGCCAGATCTATCCAAGCCATACCATACCATCCCATCCTATCTCTCTAAGATCCATTCTAATATTGTCCACCCATCCACACCTTGGTCTTCCCTGTGGTCTCTTTCCTTCTGGCTTTCCCACCAATATCCTATATGCATTCCTCGTCTCCCCCATTCGTGCTACATGACCTGCCCACCTCATCCTCCTTGACTTGATCATTCTAGTTATACTTGGAGAAGAGTACAAATTATGAAGCTCCTCATTATGCAGTTTTCTCCAACCTCCTGTCACTTCATCCCTCTTCGGTCCAAATATTCTCCTCAACACCCTGTTCTCAAACACCCTCAGTCTATGTTCCTCCCTTAATGTTAGAGACCAAGTTTCATACCCATACAGAACCACAGGCAAAATTATAGTTTTGTATATTCTAATTTTTATGTTTTTGGAGACGCTAAACTAAAACAATGTCACGTTTTCAAATACAGATATTTTTGTAACCTAGCATTTGTTGGGTTAAAAACTGTTGCGTTTTGAATAATTCTTTTACAAAGACCTGGGATTTCCATAAAATCACAGTTCCACTAAAAACTCTCATAACAAAATGGACTGTTTCAAATGTTTGTGAAAATGGTGGAAGATTTGAAGTACTCACATCTCTGAACTGCACGCTACCAGCCTCTCCGAGCTCCGCGACAGACGAATATGCCGCTTCCGGTTGGATGAATAATTGACACAGGGACATCTTCTCGCTCCGGAAAAAGGACCCCATGCTGCTGCTGGTGGTTGTCTTGCTCGCACCTCCTGCAATAACGCGTGTGGTAAGAGAAACAAACTTGCAAAAGTGCGTACATGACAGCGAGTTTCCAGAGCGAAGGTTCCCCAGTTAGCGCCAAATTTTAAAATCTCCAATAGATATTCTCCAACATTCCGGGGTCATGAGACCCTCACTATTGTTGAGAATCTAGTAATGTAAAAATGTTCAAGTTGGTAATAGTGATCTATATTCATTTGTTTTTGTTTTGTTTTATAATAAAAAGTTTCTTCTCATCCAGTATGGCTGTTAAGTGACATATAAGCACGACGCGAAGAAAATCAACAGGTTATGGGCCCAGATTTGCTCAAAAACTAAAAAAAGAAATTAAAAAAGGAGAAGACAGAAGAAGAATAATGAAAAAATGGCAACCACAGAGACAGAGAGGTAACTCATCTGCCAAAACTGAAGGACGCTGAGTCATTTCCACTGTGGGATTTTGAAATCGGGATTCTGATGTGTGCAAAAGAACTGATAAACATCGTTGATGGCAGCGACCTGTTAAGTGACCAAGGAAGAGACGAAGAAAATATAAGGAAATGGAAGATGCAAGATGCAAAGTGCCAGTACTACATAGTGAGAATGATAGAGAAATACGTGAAGACCCACGCTGTGATGTGCACAACCGTGAAAGAAATGTATGACACCTTGAAGCAAATTTATCAGCGAGACACCTCTCAACAGAAGTGCCTTCTTTTACAAGACTTCTACAATTTCAAGTATGACAAAACTAAGGATATGATGATGAATATAAGTCATGTACAGAACACTGCCTTCAAGCTTCGTCAACTGAACCAAAACGTTGATGAAAACATGATCATGACAAAAATAACAACGATTCTACCAGAAGACTATAAACACTTCAGCACCGCCTGGGACTCAATGGCGACCGTGGACACTGATACAAGAAAACACTGTACAGTGCTGAAAAGGACTCTTATTTTAAAGATAGGAATAAACGAAGCAAGGTCAATTTTCTAGCTGAAGCAGCAGAAACCCACATGAGTGATGCAAGTAAAAAAGACAAAATGTATGTAGTGGATAGTGGTAGCACATGTCATATGACAAATGTGAAGACTGATTTGATACATACTAAGCAGTATACTCAGTGTATAAAGGTATCAAAGAAAAATCAAAGTATGACTGCAAAAGAAATAGGCAATCTAAAATTTAAAGAGTGTAGTTTGAAAAACGTTTCATATGTTCCAGAACTCAGCAAAAACCTGCTGTCAGTGCACTGTATTACAGAAGATGATGGAGAAGTGTTGTTTACAAAAGAGAAAGTCCAAATACTCGAGGACAAAAATGTTGTAATCGAAGGAAAAAGGATGAAAATGGATTGTTTGTAATTAACTTTAGTGCGAGGAATGAAGCTATGATGACTCAGCAAGATATAAGTGTAGAGTGGCACAGAAAGCTAGGTCACATAAGTTATGTGAATCTTAGGAAACTACAAGAGATATGCCAAGGGATACCAGAAAGTGTGAGTAAGTGTACAAATGTTGATATATGTCCAGTTTGTATGCAGGCCAAACAAGTGAGACTCCCATTTGATACAGAAAGAAGTAGGACTGGAAAGCCATTAGAGATAATTCATAGTGGCATCTGTGGACCGTTTGATCCCACCACTTATGACAATAAGAAATATTTCCTTACATGTGTGGATGACTATACGCATTTTTGTAAGATATACCTGTTAGAAAATAAGAGTGAAGTGTATACCTTTTTGAAGGAATATGTAAATGAAGCTGAGTGTCACTTCAATACAAGAGAGAATAAGATGCGACAATGGAGGGAAATATAAGAACAACGCCTTGAGAGAATGGTGTAAGAACAAGGAGACTGTAATGGAATTTACTACACCATATTCGCCACATCTAAACGGCACTGCCGAAAGGATGAACCGTACCTTTGTGGAAAAGGCAAGAGCATTGATTTTTGACTCAGGTTTAAGTAAGAAGATGTGGGGTGAAGCTGTAGTCTCTCCTGCATGCCTGCTAAACAGAAGTCCAACAGTGACAATGAATGGAACGCCAGTGGAAAATTTGTATGGTAAAAGACCAGATCTGGCTGGATTGAAGATTTTTGGTTCAGAAGTGTACACTAAAATTCTCGGACCACTGAAAAAGTTGGACAGTCGTAGCAAGAAAGGAATATTCGTTGGATACAACACAAATGGCTACAGAATATGGGATCCAAATACTGAAAGGACCTATGTTTCCAGAGATGTGACATTCACAAGTAAACCTGTGACAACAAATAAACAAAAGGAAATGGAAAGAGTGACAGATCTAGAAGACAAGCGAAATACTCCAGATCAGGAAGACAGCGAAATGCTGCAAGAACCCGAAGCTGACAACAATGAAGAAAAACCAACAGATACTGAAGAGGATGAAGAAAATTAAAATGCTGACCACAAGGATAATGGAAGGAGAAACAATGGACAAAAGGAACATGGATATGCATTGAGACCAAGAAGAAACATTCAAATGTACCCAAAGTACTGAGACTATCACAGAGAGAGTCAAAAGGAGGGTATGCTCACCTATACATATGGCGAGTGCATGGAGAGCGAAGACAGTGAAAAGTGGAAGAAAGCCATTAAAGAGGAAAAGAATTCGCTCTACCAAAACAAAACTTGGATATATGTAAACAGAGAGAAAGCAATGGGCAAGAAAATTCTGACAGTAAATGGGTTTTAAAAATAAAGGATGATGGAAGACACAAAGCCAGACTGGTTGTGAGAGCATGCCAACAAAAGGAAGGGGAAATAGATTTCAAGGATACCTTTTTAGTCCAGTTGTTGACATGAATTCTCTTAGAGTACTGTTTGCCATAGCAGCACGTAAGAATATGAACATGCAAACCTTTGATGTGAAGACTGCCTTCCTGTATGGAGACCTTGAGGAGGAAAACTACATGGAGATAACAGAAGGATACAGGAACACTGGCAAGATATGTCTCCTGAAAAAGGCATTATGTGGCCTAAGGCAAGCACCATCACAATGGAACAAGAAGCTGACAACCTTCCTAAAAGAAGAAGGTTTAAACCAACTAAAATCTGACCAGTGCATTTTTAAGAATGATGCCAATAGTTTGTTCATGGCCATTCATGTGGATGATGGGATAATCATGGGAGAGGATAAAAGACAAATAGAGGAAATTTTACTGAAACTGGAAAATCAATTCCAGATAATAGAAACCACAAATCCAAAAGTTTATTTACGAATACAAATTGAGAGGCAACCAGATGGGATACATATCTTTCAAACAACTATGCAAGCCAAATGTTGGAAAAATACAACATGCAAGAAAGTCGAGAAATGAGAACACCCATGGTCACGACGCCACCAACAAATGACGAAGGAGAAAATGACATAAGATTTCCTTACAGAGAAGCTGTAGGAAGCCTGATATATATGACTTCTAAAACTAGACCCGATATGGTATTCGCTGTAAATGTGGAAAGTCGAACCTTGGAAAATCCTGACAAAATAGCTGNGATTATGCAGGGGATGTAAAGAATAGGAAGAGTGTAACAGGATATGTAATTATGATGTCAGGGGGCCAAATATCATGGTGCTCTAGGAAACAGAGTATTGTTGCATATCAACCACTGAGGCCGAATATATTGCAGCAGCTGAGTGCTGTAAAGAACTGAAATATCTAAAGACGTTGATAGAGGAGTTGACAGGAAAAGGGGTGGAAGCTGAACTGTGTGCCGACGATCAGAGTGCAATCAAACTAATAGAATCTGGACAAGTAACATGTAGGAGTAAGCACATAGATGTTAGGTATCACTACATACGTGAACAAGTGAAAGAGAAACTGTTCTCAATCAAATACTGTAACACTGAAACTCAGGTGGCAGACATTTTAACAAAACCGCTATCACCAGAGAAATTGACCAAGTTTAGAGACATTATACTTAAGAAGAAATAAGTCTGATTTTGATAAGACTGAGAAAATTGTAATTACATGTACTAAATTTGTAATCTCAAGACCTGGGAATTCCACTGGAGCAGCTTACTAGAAGACGAGCGGATTTTCTGACAGATACCGGTCCACCTGTGTTAAGCCCTCATTCCGGTTTATCCTATGGCACCAGCATAAGAAGGACGGGCGGAAACAGAAGATTATGGACGAAAGAATTCATCAACTATACAATGAGACTGTTTCCACAGTGAAGGCGTTGAAAGCGATGAAGGCGTCGATGGGAGAGAATGTTCAAAACCACGAAGAGATAAGTTCAGTGATGAAATCGGTGGAGGCAACTGTGTTAAGAGAAGAAACATCGTCATAGGTCCGAACGGGGCCCCAAACCACGAATTACTTTGCTGGCGAGGGCCACTTACTGGAATGCACTCAAGCAAATGTTAGTCAGTCGCCACTCAGCAAAGCACGTTCATGATGGAAGTAGAAGAAACTCCATGATTGGGACCCGTTACCAAGCAAAGACCAGTGAAGAGTACAATGTGTAAAGTTTCTATATCAGTAAAGTTGTTAGAGTTGGGCCGCACCATAGCTCAAGTGGTTAGTCGCTGGCGGCCCGGGTTCGATCCCGGCTCTTGTCAAGTGGGATTTGTGGTGGACAAAGTGGCGCTGGGGCAGGTTTTCTCCTAGTACTTCGGTTTCCCCTGCCAATCTTCATTCCACCAATTGCTCCACAGTGACTCTCACCTATCATCTGGGTTTGGTACAATACGCCAGAAGTGGCCGCAGTACAAGGGACTTAGTCCCACCCCACTAGCAATAAAAAAAATAATATATGAAATTTCCTGCCGTCGACATGTTGTGGTTATTGTTGATACGTAAACAATATTTCCTACAGAAGTGAGTGTGTTTAACAGCCTCTGATCACGATAACGAACCTTCGGGTTTCATGAATGGCGGACCAGTTATGGGACTATTAGCTCCTCAAGGCCAATGCTGCATGTAGTTCGTTTCCCACTTCCTTGTGCATGATTTACTAGAGCACACTGCATACTGA